TGTCCCTGTGTCCCCGTGTCCCCGTGTCCCTGTGCCCCTGTGACCCTGTGTCCCTGTCTCCCCGTGTCCCTGTCTCCCTGTGTCCCTGTGTCCCTGTGTCCCTGTCTCCCTGTGTCCCTGTGTCCCTGTGTCCCTGTGTCCCTGTCTCCCTGTGTCCCTGTCTCTCTGTGTCCCTGTCTCCCCATGTCCCCGTGTCCCTGTCTCCCTGTGTCCCCGTGTCCCTGTCTCCCTGTGTCCCTGTGTCCCTGTGTGTGTAATGGCCGCCCAATGATAAATAGCCATCATTCTCACCCTCTACACCGCAGGGCTGTCCAATCTGTCCTGACTCAGATGGATCGCCCTTTGTGTCTTTGCTCATCTCCACAGTAGCATTAATATTCTGCTAGTCTCAGGAAGAGGCCGGCTGTCAGACGATAAAGTAAGTAAGCGCAGTGCTCAAGGCCCTCAGGTTGTGTGTGTGTGTGTGACAAGCACCACCCAGGAGATGATAGCCAAACAAGATGTTTAAATGCATGCTGCTTCCATACCCTGCCTCTTTCACCTTGGAGGGAGGGAGGGGAGAGAGAAGAGAGAGAGAGAGATAGATAGAGAGAGAGAGAGAAGGATAGCAGGAGGAGAAGAGAAGAAAGGCAGAGAGCACAAAACGTATTTTTTGATTAATTTATTCATACTATTTCATCCTTCCACAATATATAGTCCCGATACATTTCCAGGGTTGCTACCCAAGCCGGCTGGTTGTTCGTTCTATCGGTTCGGTTGCCAGAGACGCGACCCAGTCATTCAGTCTTTTTGTTCTGTATCTATGGACGCGACCCAGTTTGTTCTAAATGTTCCATTGCCATATTGGCTGGCAACGTTCTTATCTCTTAATTGCTAGCTAGCCAACTACGGCTAACTTAGTCACGTCAAACAGTGCAGCCAGAATAACAACAGTAGCTGCATTTGTTTAAGCTGTTTTCAAGAGTCATTTATTTGGATACATCTATAACAATGAGCTAATGATGCGCGATTTCACCTGGCATAGAAAATGTGCTCTCTCGTCAGGACACTGTTGTTCGAGAGGAGCTAGCCGACAACACAGCTAACACAATCACTTCAAACTGAAGCTGGAAAGACTTCAAACTAGCTGCACTTCGTTTCATTTTACCTTTTGTCATTTTACATTTCTTTGTATATATCCATAAAAAGAATGCCAGCTGATTTATGATTTCGACTGGCTGAGAAACGCTGCCTGCCTGTCTGTCTCGTCCATTACTATGGGACAGCTGGAGATCGAATTTGAAAATCTAAACAATGTTGTAAATGTCGGAGAGACACTCAGCAAGGTTTATACAAATCTCCGCTGTTGAAAACTAAATGTTAGTCTAAAAGAAATGTGAGATAATGTCTAGATGCTTTTTATAGTGGAGTTTATAAATTGCCTGGCTGGGCTGATGAGACAGTGGATTGCGCAGTCAGATGGAACAGAGTAAATAGGCATTTTAACGTAATAGATTTAGCCGGTGGTAACTTGTGGAATAGAAACTGTCTGGACTGCGGTTTTAACCAATCAGCATTCAGCATTAGACCGACCTGTTGTATAATATGGAACATTTTAGTCTATTGCCTGCACTAAAATGGGAACTTTGTGATGACACGGCGAAGTATTGTGCCAGGTGTCAGGTTCAAACTGTTACGGCTTGGTCTTTGCTCAGCTCCATAACGATTTAAGTAGCCTGCATGTCTTTTTTTTTATATCATCAACTGTTACTAATGATCCTCAGCAACAACCACACGGCTGTGACAATGTTTACAGAGGGAGCAAATGAAGGTAAACTAAACAATGGAATGAAATGGAATGATAATGTAGGCTATACCAACTGAAGGGAACTAACAGTTAATTGGCAGTTGAATATGTGTGGTTATTAGGCCTGCTGACGGTTGATACTGATAGTGGCTAATATTTAACATGATAGAAATAGGAAAACAGAGAAAGTCGGGGTCACCTATAATTAAGACATTAGAGATTGACCATCCCTGCAAGTTAAAAGGCCGAACAATTTTAATTCTACATAATGGCACAGCATTTCATCAACTCTACTGTGGGAAAGTTGATATGCTTCACTTTGCTGCCATATGACTGGTTTCACATCTGTCTCCAGCGATTATAAGGTAAAATAGATCTAAAACAATTGTCATTTATATTTACAATCCCCTTATTCAAACGGAGTACTCATTTACCTAGCTCTGATCAATAGCTCTGATCAATAGCTCTGATCAATAGCTCTTATGAAGTTGTAAATTACAGAGCATCGAGAATGGTGTTATTTCTATCAGAAAAAAATTAAGTAGATTTATTTTTTCCACTTGGAACTGGTAGGTTCGCTAGACTTCTTTACTCATGTTTTCCTCGCGCGTAAAGGGAGAAGGGGGGTAGCTGCATCCCAATATGGCAACCAGAGGATGGACGAGTGTCGAAAGGAAAGTAGTGGAAAGAACTGGGCGTCTCGAACGCTGTAGGTTACATGGTTTTGATTGATCAGTTTTTTTTTTCTTGCATTTCTCACCACGCACAGTGAGCTACCATATCGCGAGAGTTTGGACTTTCGCTTGAGTCGGACAAGTTTTACACAAATAATTGTACATGTTCAGTTATAAAACTGACTATTATTTATTTTTGATTAAAAGTATTGATGATCGGCGTACTGTTGCTTCATGTATGTGTGTGCTTATTGTGACTGTCACACTGATTTTGGCTACTAGGTAGCCCCACTGTTGTTGGACAGTAGTGCTGGTCAAGCCATAGACTAGACGTAACATATTAAACTTAAATCAGGGACAGTCAATGATATGTAGTTACAGTGGCGGCCTGAAAGGGGAATTTTCATTTA